AATAATGTAATTTCAGTATATTATTCTAGATGTATCTACTATGATTACAAAAACTAAAATCAACAAGTTTTCTCACAAATATTCAAGATATTTACAATTTTGTGATATATATATATACCAGAAATCTTTAAGTACAAAACTGAACAAATTAAGATTAAAGTTCAAAAAATATTGCAACAATTTTGTTACATCTACAACGTTGCACTTTTTGTATGTTATACCTTAGCATATCTACAATGTTAAAAAATACTAAAATCGATATATGTTCTCACAAATATTCAGAATATTCACAGTTCCATGATAAAAGTACTTCAAGACTTAGATTAAACGATTTAATTATACGCGTGCCAAAAAAGTTCGCATTAATTTATTTCCTATTGTCACTACTTACTTATAGTAAAATGAAATAATTAGCATAAATTTAACACATTTTATTACATACATAAAAATATAACAATTTTGTTCAAATCTACATAATTGTCCTCAAGGGATTCTGGCTTTTATATTTTTTCGCAATCTTATCTTGTATAGGGTCAGCCAAATAATTTTTTTTTTGGAAAACTAATGTATATTTTCTCAAATTTTTTAATTTATTTGGAAGTACAATCCTTCCAGTTAATAATGAAATTAATTTAGTTAATAATGGTTATAATAATTTCATTCAAAAATGAAATAAAAACCTCGGCTGACCGTTGAAAAAATAATGAAAATGAAAAATGTTAGATGACATACCCTCAACATTAAATAATAGGATAATCTCAGAGTAGTAGTTAAGATATCAAAATCCCTAAATATCGATATTTTATTCTTTTTCTCATCCCCAAATCGACCTAGAGGCGTAAACTACCATTTCGATCGCACATATAGACGGTTTCTATATCTCTCCTATATTGTAATCCCATCTGATCCTGAGTGACGGAGTTCAAAGCATACATTCAGCACAAATGTATACTTATATAACACACACACACACACACACATATATATATATATATATATATATATATATATATATATATAATATAAATGTGTGCATTTCTATGTACAAATGTATTGGCGGCTCCACCGTGGATTGTAGATAGTAGTTGCTGGATCGTATGCAAATAAGATGCAAAAAGAATTTATCGCGTTGTACGGGGAAACAGGTGTGGAAAACTTAAGGGCCAATTTTTTATAAAAATAGAGATGTTATGGCTCTATTTTTGTATGAGTTGGTTGTAAAAACTGTGAAAAAGCTAGGTATTTGCTTTTCGATCACGCGTTTTACACATAAAATCTAACTTCAAGTATGTTTTTTGATGGGATATCAGAAAGTTGGATTTTCTTTTTTTTTGTTTCTTTTATGAGAGTTTTTATTACATTTAATATGAAAAAAATATATACAATCTATAAATTTACAACATGAAAATCTATCTTCATTTGAAGATAACAAAACAGTTATATAAACTATAATAAATTCACTTAACTATACTTTAATCTAAATAATATTTATTATGTGGAAAAAATATCACAAAACCACAAATTGGAATTTTTGAGTATATATTTGACGCTTGTGCGTTTGTGCATAAATAAATCATCTGATTTAAAGAGACTTTAAGTATATATTGTTAAAATATATACGTATTTGGAATAATGTGAGGTTTTGTAAAAATGTTGGTTTAAATTTTATCTTTAATGTTTTATTTATAAAGTTTTTCATAATATCAGAAGAAAAATCAATATTTATTTATTTATTTAACATTAATTAGTTATCAAGCGATACGAAAAATATTGTAAGTAATAAGTGATTATTATAAAATAGATTTGTGGTAAAAATTCAGGATTTATTGCATTTTTAAATTTAGAAAAATGAAGAAAATTGGCTGCAACAAAAATATTGAAAAAATGTATTAAAGGTGTATAATATTAATAATATACAATTTTTTTAATTTACACAAATTGAATATAATTGAATATCGATTATAATAAAATAGAAACGTATATATTCAAATTGGGAAATATATAATATATTCCAGTATTATAGTAAAATCAGTATTTCTTCAAAATGTATATTGATTTTTTCATTTTTTTATTTTATTTCATTTTATTTTATTTCAATTGCCATTAGTATTTTTTTGCTAATTATTATTTAGCTGATATTAAATTTGTTTATATTTTTAACACAATTTTGTAAAATGAATACCTTTATTAATACACAATAAGTTGCTTTCAACCTTGGGATGTTTTAAATTGTTTTTTTACATATTACTATATTAATAAACGTTTTATTAAAATAACATAATTAGATTTGAATAAAATAAAAATTATTTTGGTAAAATATTAAAAATCGACAAATAACAGCAAAAATTAATAGAAATTGAGTTCGAAGTTTTTCTTGTGTATTTAATGAATCTATTTATAGCATCAATTATTTTTAGTTACAAATTTTTAACAAATTATTGAACTAATTATAAAATACAATTAAAATTCCTTAATTACATAAAATTATAGTACAAAGAAGTTCACAAATGAACATAACTACCCTTGCGTATTTTACTCAAATTTGGTTTTTAAACATTATTGAACTTTAGAGTGACAAAAAAAAAAAAGTTTCCTAAAAACATAAAAAAACCCATTCAAAAATAAATCTTTATGTTCAGACTATTTTTAATCTGATAATGCGACAATAAAATTGAATATGAACATTTTGTGTGAATTATTATGAAAA